CCCCCGACGGCGCCGAGGAACTCCACCATCTGCATCAGCGTGAGCTCCGACAACTTGCCAGGCTGGTCCTGCGCCATCTTCCTGCAGTGAGCCCGCTTGGTCGCCAGCCCCCCCGTGGCCGCGGCCCCGTCGGCCGCGCTGAGGAGGCCCAAGGCGGCGCCAGCGTCCGAGCTGCCGGCAGCCTGCGCGGCCGAGCTCTCGAGCACTGCCATGAGCGCCTTCGCTAGTTCCTTCGCGCCTTCTCCCGCAGCACCCCCGCTGGCCGCAGCCGCAGCAGCTGGCCCGCTCGAGCCGCGCGTCGCCTCGGCGCTGGGGCCCCTGGCGACCTTCGCCATGCGCTCCGCGAGCACCTCGGCCTGGCCCCGCTTCTTCGGCTTGCCCTCGCTCGGCGCGGCCTCTGCACTGACTCGAGGCGCGCCCGCCGCAGCGGCCTCTGGCACCGCCGAAGCGAGCCGGCCCCGCGCTGCAGCGAGCCCGGCCCGCAGCTCGCCCCGAGCGGGCTCCAGGTCGAGGGGGGGCCCGCAGCCCGCGCGGCCAGGGCACTGTCGCCGAGCAGCCCATCGAAGGGAGCGTCGTGACCCGCGGCCGCGCGCTTGGCCGCGCGCGGCCCTGCTGGCCCAGGCGTCGGCGGCGCGGCACTCTCCCTCCTCGGGCGCGCCGCCCGACGTGGAGCGGCCAGCCGCGCCGCACGCGGCCCCAGGAGATCCGCGGGCCAGATCGCATCGGGGTTGCGGGGCAAGCAGTTCGAGAAGACCTCGGCGCCGTCCTCTGCCTCCAGCCTGCGGGCGTCCGAGGCGTGGATGAGCTCGTCGCATCCCGCGGGTGCCTCCACACCGCGCGGCTCGTCCGTTCAGACGTGCAGCAGGGCGCTGAGAAAAATCGCACCCGCAACGCCTGGAGACGCCGCCCACCAGTCCCAGTACGCATCGTCGCTGAAGAGGAGCCTCGCGCGAACGAACTGCTCGGAGGCGGCCATGGCCCGCAGCGCACGCCACACGAAACAGCACTGCAGCTCCCCGTCGTGGCCGAACCCTATGCTCAAGTAGAACGAGTTCGGCTCGATGGCGATCGGTTCGGCGGGCGACGGCTCCAGCTCCTCCGAAGCGGCGGCCGCCTCCTCGCCGTCCTCGATGACTTCGAGCCCCAGGCCGTCGTCCAGCAGCTCGCCGGCTGAGGCGACGACGCCGCCCCCGTCCGCAGCATCCATCTCCAAGCCTGGAGTGCGCTCGTGCTCGGCTCACCGAGCGCACACAGCGCGCCGTGGCACCGGCCGCGCCGCCAGGCCGCGCGACGGCGTCGCGCGGATGCCACGGCACACTGCGACCCTCGCGCCGCGGCGGGAGCACCGCCGCGACGCGGAAAAGGGGAGCCTGGCTCGGGGCCAAAACTCACTGAGCCAGAACAGCTCTGGAGCGGAGGGTAGACGGCGTAGGGGATACACGCACCAAATGGTATGACCATACAAGCCAGTATACGGACATATACACTCGAACCATCGCGCGCGCTTCGCGCGCGTTTAGATTCTAGCTGGTCGAGTGCTGACCGCACTGAGAGAATAAAGCGATCATGAATAATGAAGTCAGCATTATCGGATTCCTCCTGCCTCTTCCTCATTATTCAATCCTCCTCCTCCTCCGCTCTCATCGACCAATCGACCAGTGATCTGTCGCCAAGCTGTGGGCCCGGAAAGATGCAGCGCTACAGCGCCATTTGCACTATGCTATGGGATGCCATGATACACCATACGACGCTATAAAGCGCCATGTCACGATGCAGTATACCATGCAATCGCATGATATACTCATAGTGCGCCTTGCATGCCATGCCATGCTATGCTGTAAAATGCGATGATAATAGATGGGATGATACGCTCAGCCATATCATGCTATGTTCACTACGAAGAGCGATGCTACCGCGTTATTCGGTATTCACATACACGGCATGCCAGGCGATGCAATGCAATGCAATGCAATGCAATGCAATGCAATGCAATGCAATGCAATGCAATGCAATGCAATGCAATGCAATGCTTTGCAATGCTATGCCGTGCCATGTCATGTCATGCAACGCTGCGATGCCACGATAGGCTAGGCGGTCCTTTGCTATGCACTGGTATGTTCTGGAGGCCCTTGGGGGCCGTTTGGGGTGCTCTTGGGGCCTCGTCTGGGGCCTCTTCGGGGCCTCTAGGGTGCCTCTAGGGGGCCTCTTGGGCTCTCTTGGGGGCCTCTTGGGGCCTCCTGGGGGCATCTTGGGGCGGAACGCTTGAATTCTCGGTTCGTGTTTCCCCTCTTGGGCGCCTCTTGGGGCCGTCTTGGGGCCCTCTTGGGCGATCTTGGGCACCTCTTGGGGGGCGTCTTGGGGCATTCTTGCACCGTTGTGGCGCCCTCTTTGGGTGCCTCTTGGGTCTTCTTGAGCTGATGTCTGGGGCATCGTGGGGAAGCACGAAACAGCGAGAACACGAAAAAACGTCAAAAACCATTCGCTTTCCGAGTGTCTCGTGGGAGTCCTTTTGAGGGCATCTTGGCCGTCTTGAAGCCTTCTTGGGCTGTCTTCAAGCCATGCTGGACCCATTTTGAAACGCTCTCATGCGGTCTTGGGATCTCTTGGAGCGCTGTTGAGCCATCTTGGCGCCCTCTTGGGCGTCTCTCGGCCTCGTTTGACTTTTTTCTGGTGCCCTCCGCCAGACCCGAAACAGCCAGAAGATAAATCAGTGCACTTTGGGGGGCCTGGGACCCCCTACCACTTTATATTTGCAAATATAGATGTATAGATATATGCATAACTACATATAGATATAAATACGTACATGCATGCACACATGAATACATACATGCATGTACGCCTACATAAAAACCTACGCAATACACACATACATATATATATATATATATATATACACACATACATACATGCATGCATACATACATACATACGTACATACACGCATGCATACATACATATATACATACACAAACACATACATACATGCATACATACATACATACAAACAGACAGACAGACATACATGCATACATACATGCATGCATGCATGCATGCATGCATACAGGTATACATACATACATACATACATACATACATACATACATACATACATACATACATACATACATACCTGCATACATACATACATACATACATACATACATATATACATATATACATACATACATACATACATACATACATACACACATACATACATACATACATACATACATACATATAAAAATATGTATACATACCTACATACATACATACATGCATCAATGAATACATGCATACATGCATACATGCATAAATGCATACATGCATGCATGCATACATGCATACATGCATACATGCATACAAACATGCATTCATGCATGCATGCATGCATGCATGCATACGTGCATGCATACGTACACACATACAGAAATGTCCGTACACATTCACAAACCCACATACGCAAGTCATACCTGCATACATGCACACACATACATACATACATGCATGCATACATACATACACACATACACACATACATGCATACAGGCATGCATGTATGCATTAGTACGTACATGCATACGTACATACATTCACACATGCGTGTATTTATATATACACACACACCTATATCTACATGTACATGTATACAAATAGCCAGTTTGCTCTACACTGCTGCCGCCGCATCGCGTCACCCACACAGCCAGCCCCAGATAACTTGCAGCACATAGTTTGCACAGCTTAGCTTGCACCATAGTTCCCTCTCAAAGAAAGCTTGACTAATAAGCAATATCGTCCAGAACTCGCATTATCATCTCACCACGCGGTGCATCCGCGTTGATCCAGAATGCGCCCAGTGCACGAATCCGTATCGAATAGCACCATGCGGGCCACACGCGCGCGTCGAAATCCTTCCAAAGACATCGGTGTTCAAATAATTTCGAGATAAAGCTCTGCGAAAACATTTGAAACAAAAACGCATGTGTTTTAACACTATTCGACGCCCCCCAGGAGGCCCCTCGCATGGTGAGAAAAAAATCAAGCGGTGTCTGTACACGGGGCTGTCAAATAATAGCTGGGGGCAAAAAGCCGGCCCAGGGAAGAAAACGAGATCCCCAGGAAACCCACGTCACAAGAAGCAGGCCACGTTGGAGGAGAGAGGACGCACCAACCCTCGTCTTCTCCAACCCTCCAAGCCACCTCGGGAGGGGACGCAGGGCAGGGAGGGAAGGGAGGGAGCTAGCAGCTGTGCTAGAAGAAGGAGACGGACAGTCTTCAGCGAACGAGCGACATTTATTGAATCTATCATACAGAAGAGGACGACGACGACGACGACGACGACGACGACGACGACGAGGGGGCGAGGGGCCAGGGGAAGGGATGGTGCAGGGGCGAATGACACACGCGGGGAAGTGGGCAGGGAGCGCAGGTGCACGGAGCCTATGATGGCGACCGTGGTGCTATATCATGCAATAGTGGGGCTGAGGGCAGTTCGGTGCTCTGTCGTCATCTGCAACGCTTGCATGCGCATCTGCATGTGGTTTTGCTTATTTGACGTTGAACTCACATGTCTGCATAGGTTTTCACTGCACGCTGGCCTTGCCAAACCGTATTTGGCGACCTTGGGGTCCTACTCCCACGACCTCGACGACGACGACGTCCCAGAGTTGTCCGGGGTGCAGTCTGACCAGAACTTCGAAGCGGTTCCAGCCGAGGACACGAGGGATCGTCGAGGCCCCAGGTGGTCATCAGAACGCTCCCAAAACTTCGATACTCGGCAATGACGACCCAAACACGCGACGTCGTGATTTGTTCAAATTGTGACTTCCGGAAATCTCGATCCCTTCCCAGAGACCAGCTTTTTATTCCGAGCCGTTTTTGTCGCCCTGCGAGACCCTGGGGGCTAGAGGCTAGAGATGGCCAGAAACCTTGCGTAGCGATTTTGTTGTTCACGACACGAGGGCGTCTAGATGCGTCGAGGAATGACGTCGGCGAGCCTGGCGGTACGCGCGCAGGAACGCCCTGGCCATGTCCGTCTCCAGCCAGCCCCGCGTCGCGCAGAGGCTGCTGAAGGCCACTGGCCCCACGACCTCGCCCACGGAGGCCGCCACGGCCCCCGCGCCCTCGTGCTCCTGCGTTAGCAGGCCTCCTCCTCTTCCTCCTCCTCCTCCTCCTCCTCCTCCTCCTCCTCCTCGGCATTCGAAGATCGAGACTCTGATTATTGATGTTTGAATGTTTGGAAGCATTCCTCTGGCCTCCAACATCCCCAGGCGCACCCATCGTCCTCCGTCTCTTCATCGACCTGTTCCTCCACCACATTCGCATCCTTCTCAGTCGCCATTTTGGCTCGGGCCAACGTACCAAAACATAGCTCAAGGATCAGAGTCATCACTTGGCCGCTCTGGGCCTCTGGACGTGACGATTACTAGCTTTTCCGACCGAACATCTTGTGGCTACAAGTGTATCCAGTGTGAGATTGAGTTACACAAGAAATGGCCTCGGAGGTCGGAGTGATGTGGTTTGCGCGGTCTGTTTATGATAATCTCGGCACAAGAACCCACGGCGGCCTTGTGCGGGAGCTTTTGGCAAATATGTTGCGCGGTGTTCGAACAATCGTGGCACGCAGACGATTGCCGAAGTGTATAAATTGTGTTCCTTTCTTTTTGCAAAGGCTTAATGTCACGTGACACGCCCGGTTGCAAAAGATCGACGGTGCCCCAGGGCCGTTTGCTGCAAAAGCGGATTTTCCAACACCTTGTGCAATGCAGAATGCCTTCTGTATCTCTCATTAAAACTTCGTGTTGCACATCGGGAACGCGATATCCGCCACCGTGCCTCTGGGCACGGAATGGGCGTGGCCTCAGGTCCTTTCCCTAATACTCTACGCCTCAATCCCCACGCCCAAGGAATCTCTTAGGGGCCCGGAGCCCATATTGCCAAATCTCCCGGGGCAAGAAAGCCCCAAGAGGCCCCGAAGACTGTCCAAGAGCCCCGAGTCGCAGAACGATCGCTCCAAGACGCTCAAGACGGCCCTCAGACAGCCCAAGAGGCCTCCAAGACGCCCCACCAGGCCTCCAAGAGGCCTCTCACGAGGGCCCCACGAGGCCAAAAATCAGTGTCTTTCCTTCCGCTTGTGAAAGTTGTTAGCGGCCTCGTCTTTTCGAAGGCCCTACAGGCCAGCAAGATCGCCCCAAGACGGCCCAAGAGGCCTCCAAAAGGGCCCAAGACGGCCCAACAGGCGCTCAAGACAGCCCAAGACGCCCGAAGAACAGCTCCAAGAAGGGGTCCAGATGGGGGACCCGAACGAACAGTTCGAGCCCTCGGCCCCGAGACGCCCCCAGGAGGCCCCAAGAGGCCCCCAAGGGGCCCCACGAGGGTCTGCGGGTACGAGGGCAGCATGGGTTTTCGAATCGAGCGCAGCCCACTTCAGGGCCACGTTGATGGTGGCGCCGTGGCCGCGGCGGCCGAGAGTGGCTGCAAAGGTCTGGAAGGCCCCCAGCTCCTGGAGGGTGGCTATTTTGCAGTACCGCTGGACGCGGCAAGGTGCCGACGCGTAGTCGTTGGGCAAATCTCGGGAGCGCCGGTTGGCCTCGGTTGATTGGCGTCGTTACAAACGTCGTGGTTGGCGCCGGCGCCGGGGTCAACGGCGGCGCCGATGATAACGTCGATGCCGGCGCCGCCGTGGCACGTCGATCCGGCATGGTGGCCAAACTCAAATGCCGCGGTCGGGGAATCGTCGGTGTTTCCAACGATGGTGACGTCAGTGCTGTCGTCGATGCTGGCGCCAATGCTGGCAACGATGGTGAAGGGCGTGCTGGTGTCCTGTCTGGCGTCGCCGATGGCGCCAGTGTTGGCGTCGATGCTGGGGACTGACGTGTCGCCGGTGAAGACCTCGATGCAGGCGCGGCGTGGGTGCTGACGCCCCTGCAGGCGTCATTGTTGGCATCGGTATTTGATGCTTTGTTGGCATCAGTGCTGACGTCGATGTCGGCGCCCGTGCTGGCCTCGCTGCGGGCGTCGGTATTGGCGTCGGTGTTGGCGGTTGCCTTGGTATTGGTGCTGACCTTGATGGTGGCGTTACTGCAGGCGGGCGTCGCTGCAAGCGTCGGTGTTGGCCTCGGTGGTGAAACTGTGCCAGCTACGGTGTTGACGTTGATGCAAGCGCCACTGGTGGCGTCGTTGCGATCGTCGTATCTGGTCTCGGTGATTAATGCGATGATGGTGCCAGTGACGACGTCGCCACAGGTGTCGGCGTGCGACGAGTATTCAAAATGCGGCCAAACTCGGGAGCCACGGTCGGGGGGAACCGTAGATGGTAGCGTCGATGTTGGCGGCTGCCGACGTCGATGCAGGTGTCGACGCTGGCCTAGCTGAAGGCGCAGTTGCTGTTGCAAGCGTCGCTGCTGGCGTCGCTGCAGGCGTTCGTGGTGACGTCGGGGTTGGTGCCGTCGCCGCTGTCTTAGCTGATGGGGTCAGTGGTGGTGTTGGTGCTGGCGTGGGTGGATCGCGGGATAAGCCGTCAGTCGGGAAAGGCATCGGTGGAAGCGTCGGGGGTGATTTCGTGCCGGTAGTCGGCGAATCGGACCTGTCGGAATCGTGCTGTCCGTCGTTGGCCGCGTAAGAATGTTGGCATCGGCAGGTTGCCTCAGCACCGAATCGATAAATCGAATCGGATCGACCCGAAGGCCGAGTCGGCCGAAGCCGGAAGAAATCAGCTGCCAAATCGAAGAAATCGGCAGAAATTGGCAGGGCCGATTCGGATCGAATCGGAAACCGGATCGCGGCAAGCCGGATCGGAATCGAAATCGGATGGCCGGGAGGGTAAAGGAGTAAGTGGGGGAAGCGATTGGCCGCCCCTCCGCGGGCCCCCCGCTGGACCGAGGACAGACCCTCCCCGGTCTGTGGGACGGACCCCCCGGCTTGTGAGACAGACCCCCCCGGTCTGTGGGACAGACCCCCAAGTCTGTGAGACAGACCCCCAAGTCTGCGGAACTAACCCCCCGATCAGTGAGACAGACCCCCAGTCTGTGGGACAGACCCCCGTACCTCCTGGTCTGTGGGACAGACCACCCTAGTCACTACTCCGTGGGACAGACCTCCCTGGTCTGCGGGACAGACCCCCCTGGTCTGTGGGACACGCCCCCGGAAGCCCTGGTCTTTGGAACGGACCCACCAGCCTGCGGGACGGACCACCCTGGTCTTTGGGACAGACCCCCTGGTCTGTGAGACAGACCCCCCTGGTCTGTGGGACGGATCCCCTGGCGCGTGGGACGGACCCCCTGGTCTGCGGGACAAGCCCCCTGGTTCGTGGGACAAACCCCCCGGTCTGTGGAACGGACCCCCCCGCCCTGCGGGACTAATCCCAAGTTCAGCGAGAGAGACCCCTGGTCTGTGGGACAGGCCCCCCAGCCTGTGGGACAAACCCCCCGGTCTGTGCGACAGACCCCCCCAGCATGCGGGACAGACTCCCTGGTCTGCGGGACTCACCCCCCTGGTCTGTGGGACACGCCCCCTGGCACGCGGGACAGGCCCCCCTAGTCTGCGGGACAGACCTCCCCGGTCTGTGGGACGGATCCCTTTGTCTGTGGGACAGACCCCCTGGTCAGCGGGACGGACCCCCGGCTTGTGGGACGGACCCTCCTCTGTGGGACAGACACCCTGGTCTGTGGGACGGACCCCCCTGGTCTGTGCGACGGAACCCTTGGTTTGTGGGACGGACCCCCCGGTCTGCGGGATAAGCCCCCCTGGTTCGCGGGACAGACCCCCCCGTCTGCGCGACGGACCGCCCCAGTTTGTGGGACAGACCCCCCGCCGGTTGTTGGGACGGACCCCCGGGTCTGCGGGACAGAATCCCCAATCCGTGGGACGGACCCCCCGGTCTGTCGGACAGACCCCCCAGTCCGCGGGACGGACCTGCTCTCGAGTGCTGGACACATTTCCTGGTTTGCGGGACACACCCCCTGTTTGCGGGACGGACCCCCGCGGCTTGCGGGACGGACCCCCTGGTCTGCGGGACGGGCCCCTTGGTCAGCGGGATAAACCCCCTGGTCTGAGCGACGGACCCTTTTGGTCTGTGGGACACGCCCCCTGGTCTGTCGAACGGACCCCGCCGGACCGCGGGACACACCTCCTGGGGCGCAGGACGGACCCCCTGGGCCGTGGATGCCCCAGTGTGCGTTTGGGCAAGAATGTCGCGGCCACGAGGAAAGCGCCCGTCCGCGGACTTGGGGCCCCCCGGGAAGCCCGAGGACGCCATCACGCGCTCCACAACGGCAACCCCCAGACCCTCCACGCACCCTCCCCCCGGGGCCGTCGAAGACGACAGCGAGGGCGGCGAGGCACATGCAGGAAGGCGTCGGAGCGCCTCCGGGACGCTCCAAGGGGTTTTGCCGTCGTCGTCGTCGTCGTCGAATATTCCCCATCCTCCCTCTCCTCCTCCTCCTCCTCATCATCATCATCCTCATCCTCCTCCTCCTCCGCCTCTTCCTCCTCGTCCTCCTCCTCTTCCTCCTCCGCCTCCTCCTCCTCCCCTTCCTCATCCGCCTCCGCCTCAGCTTCCTCATCCTCCTCCTCCTCCTCCTCCTCCTCCTCCTCCTCCTCCTCAGGAAGCTATGATGGATATTTTTTCAGCCTCAACACTCCTCAAGGCCTCTGGGAGCATGTCTCTTTCGCAAGGCTCTTGGCTATTCAACATAGCCTCCGAGGCTGCCGCCATCCCGCCGACCTGCACGGTTAGTCAAGCTGAGCTCTTGGCCAGCAAGCGCCTCGCTGAAGGTGTTGAGCACCTGCTGCTCCTCTGCTGCGGACCTGAATCCTGAGCGGGGGCTCCTCTGTCCCTGTGGGCTCCGAGCAAAGCAAAAACAAAGGTTGACGGTTTACCGCCGGCGCCCAGTCCGGCGCGCTGGAGAGCTAGTTGGCTCGAAAACAAGAACTGAACTTTTCACAACTTTTGGTCGGTTGAAAATTTTGTTCTCGGGATTCAACAATTCGTTGGTGCTCTAGAATTTTTTCCCGTGATATTCGATCTTATTCCCGCTCGTCATCTCGATCTCAGCCCGATCGGGTATCTTTTATTGCCAAAAAGCACACTGGCGGGATCGGCCGTTTCGAGTCATCTTGATACGCGTTGTCG